GATACCTTTCATGTGCCGATTGTATTCGCTAAGTTGTTTAAATTTTTGAAACGATTATTCAAACAATTGATATTCATTCGAAAAATAAAATAGTTTCTGGAATTGGATGAATAAAGGAGAAAATTTTTGAGATTGATGATGTTGATGAAGTGTCGTCGATACAGAATGCAGCAGCAGCAGGAACAACGAGTGGTTCATCGCGAATGATCGATCGAGAAGAGGACGAAGAATACGGCGATGAGAATCAGAAGGCATCGTCCAGCTCGACGTCTGATCACGGCATAACAACTTCACAGTCTGCGATTGACATCACCGAGAAATTCGTATTTGAAAGACTGACACCTCGCGTTGTTACCAATCTTGTGCTCATTTCGTTGGTACATTTTTGATTTTGTGATTTGTTATTGTTTTTTGGGTTTATTATCATCAGCGTTAGTGTTTTTATCATTTTGATTTATTAGTAAAATCGGTGCTTTATTTGTTATGTTATGGTTATTATTATAATTTTTATAACTGCTGGAATGATTCCTCGTATGTAAGTCGCACTGTATAATTGGTAGTAGGAATTTTTTATTGTTACACTCACAGGAACACAATATAAAATTATAATAACGAATTTCTGTCAACTGTTATTTTAATTACTATGTTATAAATTGCTTAGTTGTACCTTTTATTGGTTGCGCTGCATATCTTGCTTATTTGAGGTAACGCTACCGGATGAGATGCCGGCCGCCTTTCAGGCATCTTATACGCCAATTGCGGCAGCAGGAACTGAAAGTCAAATTCGACATCTGTCGAGAATGATCGCAACACAATTGACGAGTCTCGAGTTGGGGCCGGGAGTGGAGATGATGAGGAATGAAAAGAGAAAACAATTCATTGGTTAGTTCAGAGCTCGTTACGGAATTTATTAGTTTTGTGTTTAGTAGTGATTATTTTTGATATTTGTTAGCCTTACGTTGAGTGATAGAAAAGGTCGTAAAGAGATAAGGAGAGATTGTTCTCATTTTTATCAGTTGTTACGAAACTTCTCATAGGGACTATTGCTATTATTATTCTGTGTAATTAACACTGTGCGAATTGTTTTTGTTATTCAGCTCGTCAAACAGCGCGAATGGAAGGCGCAATAATACCACCAACTCCACTGCATGAACTCGGTGTTGCAGCAAAACAAGTTCATCGAACCGAACCATCATCTTCACAGTTTGCACAACCAGTGGTATGACTTATATGTCCAGTGATTTTCGCTTTCATTCGTTGAATGTTTTGCAGCAAAGAAATCTTAATTTCATGATGAGGATAGATAGGTATGTGAGTGTGAAATTTATCTGTTGATGGTATGTTGTTCATTTTATTTGATATTAAATTCAATGAAGTGCGATTCAGTTCGATATAAATCATTTGCAGATACCGTCAACGAAGCAAAAATCAAAAGTGCAATTTGGTTTGTTATCGGTTACAAAAGAGTTGAGCCGTGGAGAGGCTCAAAAACTTATTCTACTCGCATTCCAGCGTGTTCTCTCCAATGAAAGTTTGTCCTTGAGTTGATCCGTTCCTCAAATTTCGTTAATTTTTGACGTTATTCTCATTTTTTGATGTCAGCTTGTTGAATTGAATTATTGTGCTTCATTAATGAAGAGAATCGTTGCAAATGATTATTTGTTCAGAACGCGCAATCCAAGGAGGTGCTGGTGTTGCACAGCAGAAATTGTTGGTGAGATTAGTGACGCGTTTCGAGCATGATTCAGAGGATGAGTTCAATGAAATGTTGATGGCTTTTATCGTTGCCGAGCAGAAGTCACGTACTGAGTTGGCGTTGATGTGGATCGCGGAGCTGTATGCGCAGTTTCAAGGGTTAGTGAAAAGTTTGAGAGTTTGGAGAACTGTTACGATGAATTATGTTGGTTATGGAAATCGTAATGACAACAGCAGAGAATGTTTCGTTTAACGTGTTTTCAGCTTAAACTGCCACTGCTTCTGAGAGCGTAACAGTCTTTGCACTGGGTCGAGCTTATCCAGGAAGGGGCCAATTTGGCAAAAGCCGAAGTCTAATTTTGAGCTGTGTTATAGCTGTAAGAAAGCATCTGATGAGATTTTCTCTTATAGTCAACTAAACTACTCGAGTAACAGTTGATCATGGTAATCATGATAAGTGAAGGCGGAACTGACAACGAATATGGTAAAGCATGATAAAGTGCAGTGGATTATTTGATTAGATCGGTTTGCAGTTATGAGTTGAATTGCGGAATGTTTTAGGTACTCACTGTGTCATCGATCAGAAATTACGAACATAAGTGCGTCGGAAACGCGACGATATGAACGGTACGATTCGGTTTTATGTACTCTCCTCAAAACACTGTTTGAAAGAGGAGAGCATAAAGAGACGTACGTTTTTATGAATTGAGTTGTTGTCAGCTGTTTGCTTTCTATTAGATGCAGGCAGCATCGTGCTTTATTGCTTACCATACGAAGTTGATCTAGCTGTGTTCCCGATGTTCTCTATTCAAAATCGCACTCGTTTGATTTCATCTTCTTAGCTCAAGCTAAAACCATGGAATAAATTTATATTTGATTGTGACGTTCTGAATTTATTTTTAGTTTATTCCACAAAATCCTTCTGGAAGCACCCCTTCTGACAACGCAGTCGTTGAGATGGCTACAGGCCGCATGTCTTGATACGGTATCGATTTGTGCTTGTTTATTAACTGAACTTTTTATGTGAGCGATCCTGATACTTTTGTTGTAGGTTTCATTGCTACTGCAAATTTGGTCTGATGTTCATTGGAGGATTATTTTGTTCCGACTTTTTTGAGTTTCGTAATCTTTTCTCAATATCTTATTTTTATCGTTTAACAAGCGATCCCTCAATTTGTTCGAATATTTTAAATTTAACTCCTTTGAAATGAACAAAAAAATTGAATTGAAGGTATTTGGTGCATTTGGAATGACCACTCTGCGTGAGCTGATTCTAACTCGTGCACGACAACGCAACGAATTGTTGTGTCTTCTGCTCGAATTCTCTTATAGTGAACGGAATGATGTTCGAACGCAAAGCGTTGAAACTGCGAAAGAACTCTATCAAATTCCATACGTGAAGTGAGTGTTTTAGTTGTTCGTTTCCTTGATTGTTTTGAGAATTGCTGCGATTTTATGAAGAAAATTTCCTTTCATTAGATTTATTGAAGTTCTGGGATGATAAATTGCTCCTAGGAAGATGTTTATTTTTTGTGTGAAAATTTACGTTCTCTTTCATCATTTGTGTGACTGTTTTTAGATGTCAGACAAATTTGGTGAAGCACTCAGATGGACAAGAGCTGGTTTCTATAATAACTGTAGAAGTGCTTTTAAAAATCAGTCACTGTCCATCTGAGCACTTGACCAAGTTTATTTGAATTGTTTAGGTATCCAGGTTAAGCACTTGTTTATAAGTACTATGTGAAAGCGCTCATTCATGTAAATGTATAGGCGATTTTACCCCGATCTGATGCAACAGTGATAATTGATTGTGAAGCAGATTTTTGCGAATAGATGCGTTCTTTTTTAGTTTAGATGATTTTATACGTTCTATTGAACTTGGCCCAAGAAAAACTGATAATAAATTTACTTTGAAACTGATAATTTGAAATTTGAATCTGATAATTTATTGAATTTGAATTTGAATTTTACTTTCAGGAATGATGTTCGTGAATATTTGCTGTGCACGATAGAGTATCTTCTTCGTCCTTCACCCCCTCCGCAAATCTGCGCGAATCTCGAAGAAGGCGTTCAACCGCGGTGGGACGATACAACAATTCGATCAGCCCTGCATCTGTTTCTTTCCATTCTGCCAATCGATCATTCGCTCATACATACTCTAGCGGCAGTTTACGCGAAGTCATCAAATGATATCAAGCGGGTAACTTTGATGATTTCATTTGTTTGAAGACCATAAGAATGCTGCAAATGATGTGCTACTAGGTGTATATTATTGTATAGGTAACACTACGTGCGATCGAGAGTGCAATAAAGGGAATGGGTAGTTCGAGTGAGCATTTGCTGAAGATGATCGAAGAATGTCCTGATGGTGCTGGTACACTTGTCGCTAGGATTGTTCATCTGCTCACTGAACGAAGTCACTTTCATCACTTAAATTAGATTTTAAATACGCAAAACTTATTAAATTTCAACCTGAATACTAAGTTATTGTTATTTAATTGTGCAGGCAGATGTATTAAATTCGGAATTATTTTAGATCCTCCAACTCAAGAACTTGTGGCTCGCGTATGTGCACTCTATGAGCAAGGACGAGCAGATGTTCGTTTATTAATACCCGTTTTGAATGGGTTGGATAAGGTGGGTCCGTTCTACCAGCTTTTTTTTTGATTATCTCATCAACGTTCATCTCATCAACATCAACGAATTAGTCAACTTATTTTAAGCTGTTTGCAAAGATTCTTTTGAGTGCGTGTAAAGTTGCTGCAACAATCCAACTTTTATATTGTATAAGTTTATGTTTTGCTTGTGTTAATTTAGTCGACTTTATGAATTCATTATTTTTTGAGTTTATTTTGTTTTTACCTTACAGGACTACATTCTACGAATATTACCGAAATTTGTACTCAATCCGATCAATCAAAAATCCGTTCAAACGTTATACGCTAAAATATTGCTCAGTAAAAGTAAGTTGTTTTCATTTTATCATTCCGACGTAGTAGTGTCAGTTCTAGTTATGATTTTGAGGTATCAAAACATGTCAGCACCCGATGAGCGCGAGTGAATTGTTGATAGCAGTACATCGAATCAACGCGCAGACACCTGAGGAATCTGTTCTGCTCATGCAAAGTGTGTTCTTTTATTTGATTATTTATCTATGTCCATTTGTTCACTTGTTCTTTTCCACTGCATAACAATAGGAGTGAATAACTTTAGATATTGATTCATTGCTGTCTCAGCTGATGGCAGCCAAAGACTCGATAGCATCAGCGATCGACGTTCTGTTGGACGATGAGATGTTTCCAACAAATATACTGCACACAATCTCACGTGCTCACGAGGCATATCCCGCACTGAACGCCTTCATCGCGAATGTCATTCTCAAGATCATTCAGAAAAGACCGTGGGGCAAAGATTCATCAGTATGGCCACAGTTCGTACAGTGTGCTATTGCCACAGCACCACACTCCTATATTGTTCGTTTTGTTTAAAATAATATATTTTATCATTTGATGAGTGTGCCAGCAATCATTTTTATATAAGGACGAATGAAGGTAGCGGTACAAGATATCATCACTTGGTTGCCGCATTCTCATTTATTATTAGATAATAAGGTGGCGAGCTTTGCCTCGCTGTTCAGAAATCGACTTGATAAGTTTAACTTTCAGGCCTTATTAACAGCCCTGTCGCAAGATGATTTCCTAAGTTTCATGCAAGAGGCAGGTGATGAGAGTCAACGATTAATGAAAGCGTTGAAAGATTATATACCAACCCTATCGGCACATCAACAAAAGAAAATTGATCGTGGTATTAGGAGTATCATCACAACAAATGACTTCAATCTTGTGAGTTTGTTTGGGTTTGTTTCGGTCTATTGCGTTTTGTTGTTTTAACTTTAGTGAGTTTCAGATAAGATGTTGACGTTGTTCGATGAATACAAGTATTATTTGATCTCGGGTCGAATCGGATCACAAACACTTTAGAATTCTTTTGTTATCATTGCCAGTGATGCTTGTTATTATTACTGTTATCCATGTTTTGTTTGTTATCATTATCCATGCTTTTATTATTATTGTTATTTTTTTATCATTGTTGTTTTAGTATGATGTACATTGTATCAGTTATGAATTTGCATCAGTTAACACGTATAATTATCATTTGGCTTAAAATGATAAAATTTAATACGACAGTAATAATCTTGTGATAAAAATTGTGACATATCTTTCTGTTTCATAAATCAGATGAGTGATCCTTTGAAGTGATTTGTGGAGATATTCCTAAACTCTTTGATCACCAATTTTGTCTGAATGAACTTTTCGATTGATAATTTGATTATCATTTGATGATATGATTAGTTATTAGTTAAATTTTAATAATCGAAGAGTAATGGGGGAAATTTCTTTGACGGTTATTTGATATATTGTTTTTCGTTCCGCGTCGAACCGAATGTTTATTCATATTCTTTTGAAAACATTCATAATCTTCAAGGAATACCCACACTGTCAAAATGTGCACTCCACATACTTTCCGTATCAGCCACTACGGCGTCGGCTGAGCGAAGTTTTTCGGTTTTAGCCAATATTAGTGTTTGCCACAAAAACCAAATGTTGCCGGCAGATGCAGGAATGAACGTCGTTTCGACGTTCCGTTATGATATCTTGACATGATCATTATTGCTTTGCGCTTATTTGTATTGTTGTTTATTGATTTGTATTATACGAATCTGCACTGCATCCGTCTGAATAGCTTCTACTTTCATTTGTAATGTAATGACTTGACCGATGGTTATTTTTATTGGTCAAGTCGTTATTGTTGTTTTCGCTGATGTTCATATTGCTAAACCTGAACAGGAGCTTGAACTTTGATAAAATCGAATTGCGGGACGTTCAATTCACCATTTCCATATTTCAGTTTTAATGCCCTCTTGTTAGTGAGCGGTGTGGAAGAAACTGTAGGTCTGCTGATGTTGGGTAGTGTGAAAGACCTGCTTAAGTGAGCACGATCAACGCGTGAGTGAGTCGCGAATATTGAATGAGCAACTGGTGAGCGGTGATTAGGAACATATACTGATTTCCGAATCAGAATTCTTGTTCAGGTTGCAATAAAAACGTAATGATGTGCAAGTGAGAAGAGTAAGCGCGGAGTTACTGTGGTAAGTGTGGCGTTCGTGCTGTTGTTGTTTGTTGCACGCGCGCTCGAACGGAATTCGTTTTGCACGTCGTCGACCCACCCGGGTCCTTGACTACTCCGGCTACTTGTTCAGCAAAAACGTTGGTGAAACGGGTAAGTAACGTTTTCCGGTAAATCATTTCGTTTGATGGTTATTATTCGCCATTTTTTTACGCAGCGAAGCGTCCTCGTTTCTTGGTTGATGTTGGTGTGCATGTCGTATTTGAATGTTGAACAAAGTTATATTTGATGGGTGTTACAGCAGCGTAGTTGCTGTGATGGCGTTTTATCATAGAAAGAACCTATTGGTAGCAAATGGTAAGCGAAGAAGCCATCTAAAGTCGGATTGCATCTCCAAGCAAGCATCACAAACAATTCAAGTTTCGGGATCAGCAGTGATAAGCGCATTGCAATTTGATGAATTCATGACAGTTCTGCACCAAAATTTGATCTTGTAAAGATGTTTTTGATGGTAGGTGTCCTGATCATAAGTAATTGCTGATGTTCCGGAATTTTCCATACATATTAATTTCATCTTGAGCACAACAGCTTACAAAATGATCGAAAATATTCAAAATAATGAACGTTGTAAATCAGGGTTGAAATGAACGTGCTTTATTCAAAAAAAAAACAGCCTGAGTCAAGCCTAAATTATAATATGTCAATCCAGATTGGATTCACGGGCTATATTCTGAATTGAGCATGAAGCATGCACAAAACTTTCAGATATCGTTGCTCTTGTTGACTGGATACTTGACTTATCTTGTTAGGTAAAAGAAAACACAAGTATTCCGTTGATTTTATTTCTCAGCTGCGCTGATAATTTTGGAAAGCGACCAATGGCGAATGAGCTAACATTAATTTCCAATATATCAGATGTGACATGGGCGGGAATTGAGTTCTTATGGTTTTGTGTTCGTCGAAAACTGTATCCTGATGAGTAAATCCATCGTTGCTTATGAGGAAATACCCGCAATAATTGAGGATTTATTCATAGAAGTGTGAAATTACACAAACGGTCGACGTACCTGGTGCTTTTTGATCACACAGCCGCTGTTGAATATATTCGTTGTTTTCACTTTATAAGAGCACTTGTTTATGACGTTTTTTTGAAACGTTGCATCTATAATAATAAGCAATAATCGTGTTGTTGATGTGGCTGTGAGAGAAAGCACGCTGTCGATAAAGTAGATTTCTCCTCAGGTTCCAGATCACGCTTAGGCTTCGTTCAAGATCAGGATTATTTCTGGAATATGGTTAAATCAGAACACGAATCTGAATACAATTTTCGATTTAACTGTGAGAAGAAAACTGAATCAGTCACTAAGATTCAATTAGGATAGGAAGGCAGTCGGTCAGTAGAAAGCAGCCGTTCAGTGAAGTATCACTAAATCACTGAATGGAGAAACAACGATGCAAAAACGCAATGCAGATAACACTGATTAATCGCCGTAGATGGCAGCGTTCGGGGGAGCAATTGAGATGGGATGATCATACGTTATTATATGCATTTGTTGATTGATCATTTGTAGATGCATCGATATGAATTCTGATCTGTTGATTACTAATTATGGCGCGAAGTGAATCGTATATAAGCAAATTCATTCTACGCATATTTCAGTGTGCATCTGCACGGCAGATGCGGAGTCTGGTACTTCGCAATCTCGCCATGATATTTGTTTTGTGCCCTCATATGAAAGGCACTTCTGCCCTCAGGCGAGAGCCCGGGCACCCTCTATCGAAAGCTAACACCTTGAGAAAGGTGTTAACTTTCGATTGAGGGTGCCCAGGTTCGAGCTAACAACGAAGGCAAATTTGAGGATGTTCATTCTATCTTCACTCGGGACCTGAAGTAGCGCCCTTGCGTTTCGTTAAGGGGATATTGGAATATGATCTGGATTAGGTTGGAGGATAAAGACGAATCCTCGAGTCCCTAGAGGTGGGGGTTAAGTAGAAGGCCCTGGAAACCTCAAATGTGTTCGGTGGGAGGCGCCGACGATGAGGTAGGGGCGCAATCGAGCCCCATGAACATTAACAAGTTTTTTGGGGTCGTCGAAAAAGTGTTTGAGAATGAATCGAATAAGACAATTCGCGACA